TTCTCTAACACCCGGAGCAATCTGCAACGTCAAAAAATACAAATATCAACAGTTCAAATTTTTGGAGAAAATATTTCAATTACCAGAATCAAATTCTTAAATTAAACGAAACGGTTATATTTATAAATGTTAAATATCTTAATTACTATGATGTGATCAAACATTAAAATATGTAAACAAAGTATATGCATGAACAGGTATGAAATAATAATAATTTTAAAACGCTATATTTCTACGGGCTTTTCGTCTATTTTCTCTAATGGATTTGCACAATGGAACTCTTGCCCATTTCTTAGCCCTGTCTTTTATTTTAATTACTGTTATTGACATATACATAGAGAAACCCTTTTAGTCATCTTAAATACTAAGGAGGAGAAAAAGTTTCGTAGCCTTACAAACATTTATGACTGGTACATTTCTGTAAGAGTGAATTCAGGATCAAAACACTTGATCATAGTCCAGTGCGCCGCCTTGGCCAACGCAGCCGCCATTTTTCAAAAATTCGGATTTTAACCCCATGTATATAAAACGTTATAAAATTCATATTTATCAAATAATACACACAAAATTTGAGGAAATATAGTTAATAAAACAATATTAAGAATTTTCTTTTCCATTAAATAAAATATGGGGTATTAATTACTTTTCCGTAGGATTTTAAATATAATATACCAAATTTTAATTACAACTTTTGGGTATTGCGCCGCCTTCCCACACCAGACAATGTAATGTGTCTTTTAAATTGGAATAATTTGTGTAGTTACTCTTTATTTGTCCATAAATTTATTAGATAGTATTTGTTTAATCTATATACGAAGTTTCATTCATATATGACGTAGGGTTCCTACAAAACAACGCTTGTCTACGGAATTTTGGGACAACCCTCGTATATACAATGTACATGTATTACTGATTCATTTTCAGTAGACCCTCCACACATGATGATTTATTACATAGACAATTATATTGATATTTAAGAAAACATTTTGTTAAAAGACATTCTGATTGTACACACAGTAAAGTGGCGTTGATATTAAAAAGATGATTGAGTTTCTCACTGACACTGCTTATGTAGTTTTTGGAGATCAGGTCTTCAAACAAGAGAATTTGTATGGGTACCAATTGTGTTTCCTTATTAGCATACCTATTTTTGTAATCAAATGAAGCAGAATGTATTCAGCAAATACCCTATGAGAAGAAGAAAACACTTGCCTGAGAAAAAGAAAACACTTGCTTGCGGCGGTTACTTCAACTCAACATTTCAATTTATCGACGACGTAGTATCAATTTGAATTAACAATAGTTACTTCAATTCATATCTCGACTTGACGTATTCCAGTGAACTTCTGTATTTGATCTGCTCCCAATTTGTATTGTTTAAATGGACTTTAATCTTGAATACTGTTCGTTATTACCATATTTTGTGCAGGAAAAGACAGCCAGAATACCCAGTAATAGCAGGCCTTCGGAGAAATTCCTCCAGAGAAGATATGTATTTAGAACTGGGAACCATTAAGTAAGAGAAGTGAAAGACAGAAACTTTAAATATTGTACAAAGTAGTTTAATGCATACCCCCTCTTTCTCTTCAAGAAATGGTCAATTTTTTAATCAAGTATTTTTAAAAAACGACAAGCAAAAGATTAGAAAAAAACTTATATTTCGTTACCTTAATGAAACTCTAGTAAATTCTAAACATACCAACTATACAAATCTGTGAACAGGGTATAGAACACAATCGTAGCCAGAAAATTCCAATGATGGAATCAGGTGACTAGGATGATTAAGCATGAACGTAGCCAGGAAATTCCAATGGTTGGATCAGGTACCTCCCCTGTTGGCCGACCCAAACATAACCTGCGTGAGCTCGTTGTTTTGATCAGTTAAGTAATTTTTTTGAGTATCGAATATGTAATATCGAATAGGTAAGAAATATCAAGTAACAACTGATCGTTTCTTCACCTGATCCTGCCACAAAAATCTTGACTTCCATCCTTTCACAAAACAAATTTGAAAACAGGTTATATAAGTGCTGTTTTCTCCAAATTGTTTTGTCTTTAGCGGTGGGCACATCATGACAAGTTGTTTTGTTCTGACCTTTAGCAAAAAAGGCACGGATTTATGCCACAAAGTTAAATGAAAGACAGTCCTTGACTACTAATCACAAGTTCAAGTAGAAACTGACAGCTTACTAGTGCTTTTAACCTTGTTATTATTGATGACATTATAATTATCCAGCAGATTACAAACTATGCTTATCTTTGAAAATATATGTCCAGGGACTATAATGTAATTTCTAAAATAAAAATCCAATTTAAATCATGCGTGTAATTATCAGGACATTTCTTAAAAGATATTATTTAAATTTTGATTTAGTAGCACCCGAGAATTGCAATTGCCTGAGCAGTTTAATCCTTTTACTAAGAGATTTTGCAATTTCCTAGCATCTGCAATTCCCAGTTTGCGTAAGAAAATGTCCCTGTCTTTACAATACTTGCAATGATGCATTATTTGGATATGGTTTAAAGTTTTTAATTATTTTAAAGTCCATATTTACTGTCTGTTGAAAAGGAACCTATATTTTAAAAAAAAAATTAGCTTCAAATTTTATGAAACGAAATCAATTTTTGTTAAAGACGCTTAATCCGATTCCAATCGCGAAAAAGTATATTCCTTTTTCTTCTTGAAAAATAATTGTCCATAAATTGTTTCAACTTTTGTCAAATTATATCCCCAAAGTCTTTTTCTTTTAAAAGATATCAGAATTCAAAAGTTAAAAAAATAATTTTTGTTACAAAAAATAATCCTTTGTTGCTTTCGCGTGAAATCACCTTTGAAAAATTAAATTTATCGCTTATATGTCATGAAGAACAAACCCGAGCATTTTTTTTTCCACAACGAACTTTTACCTGTACACGGACAATATTTTAGCTTTCGTTATTAAACTTCCTCGAAAAAAAATCTTGAAAAATGTCTGATTTTCTTTTATTCTTTAAATATGCATATTAATATAAAAATTACTATGGACTATATTCTATTAATTTCTTAATTTTTAAAAGTTATGACTTAGGCTTTTACTAATGGAAAAAAAGACTCGTGTTTGAATTACTGAGTATCTTCATAATTAGATATAAACGATAAATTTATTTTTTTTCTAAGGTGACTTCACAACAGGTCTTAACTTCCCGTCAGGAACTTCTGTTGGTCAATAAGGTTTTTGATCTATGTTTTCCATGTAAGGATTGTTGTAATAAACTATTAAATCTATTTCATGATTTATTTTTTATAATTTTATCTTTGTAATGACGTACTTTTATTGTGTAAAATAATATGTGCGTGTTTAGGATTAAGCGGCTTTAAAGTTTCTACCTAATTTACCATAATAGTTGATTACAAAAGTTAATGTTTTGAAAATATGGCTTAAAAATCTAACTATTAAATAAATTTAAAAGAAAAACAAAAAGAAATCATAAAAAAAATAAAGAAAATCGAATTGCGTTTTAAAAGATACATTCATATTTGGAATTTCATTTAAAACCATACAATTGCTTTATTATTATGCGTAGGGCTCTAATTGGCGACTATTTTGGTCGGCGTGGCGCTAGAAATAATGAATGGTGCCTAATTTTGTTATATAAATCGCCAAATTGGCGAACATTTTAAAATTGACTTGGTGATCGCCATATTACTGAACTATAAACATTTTCAATTTAATTTTTTATAAAGAGCAGAAAAAGGTTTAAAATTTAACAATGGACACGTCCCTATATATACACGTAGACTAATATCAGTTTTTAAATCGATGCCTAAGAAAAAAAAATTAACAAGCGACTAATTTTTTTTAATTAGGAACCAGTTGGCGCCTAAATTATAGAGGTCACATAGAGGCTTATTGTGTGATATTAAACTAGTATACGAATCAGATTAGACGCATTCAGAGAATATTCTTTTGCTTAATTTAATTGATAACTTAATAAACTTCTCAACTAACGCCTTGAAGTGAATTAAGCACAAAAGGAGAAGGAGATATTTTTAATTTTTTAGCATCTGTTATGTTGTTGTCAATATCTGATCCATTAAACAAATTTAAAATCTAAATGTCAATTTATAATAACTTTTGATTTGACCACTTTAATGTATAGAGAAAACATACCCTTTTCCATATCACATCCAGTATATTAAAGTCATAAAACCAACATCAGCGAAGGGGCTGATACAGGATGTGATATGAAAAACGGTATGTTTTATAGAGAGGAATACATAACAAATTCTGTATCACACCCCATATATCAACATGAGACCCCAATATCAGCCCGAGGGTCTGTTTAAAAATTTCATTCTACATGTGATGAAATTATAAGATTTTTAAAAAGAACTGTAAGATTTTTAAATAGAACTAAAAAATTTTTTGAAAAATGAAAATTAAAAAAAGAGACATATTTTTTAAATTAAAAAAATCAGTAGATTTCTCTAACCGTCATTGTTATAATAATGATGATGATAGTAAATAAAAATTAGCATTCATTTAATGACATTTTCTATACTAAACAGACTTACTGTAATAGTGTGTTGGAAAAAATTCAAACGTTAACACCTGTGTGAGAAGGGTCAGTATTACAGAAACAGTTTTTTTTTTAAAATAAATTGATTAAAATGCAATATGCTGAAATGTTGTTTGAAAAGAGCAATGACTCATGATTAAACGTGTACATTTTATTTCCTTTATAAGTAAAATGCAAAATTTGTGTAACATAAAGATATCGCTTCTGAGAGGGGTGGAACGCTATGATCATTCTACTGTGCGCTTTCATTTTAATCTTTTCTACTTCAGAAGGTTAGAAAAAAAATCTTATCAATCAATGAAATTTTTAAAAATGATACATACATCTTTACATATGCCAATAAACGAATATGAAAATTAAATTTTATTCAATGAATTATTTAAGAAAAATGTTTATTACAATTTACGATATTAATTTTCTTTTATTTGAAAAAAAAAAAGCTGTCAAACGAGAATGGGCTTCGGAAGTTACAGCATTTTCTTCACAGTACGGCTCAGGAAGGTAAACTAGTTAAAACTTTAATATTTCTTACTACAGTTGTAATCTACATTAATCTAACGATTAATTATTGGTGATTTATTACAAATTACTTATAGTTAATGCAAATTTTCTAGCCAGTCAGCAAAACAGATATTGGGGAAACCAAACGCTTATCCTAAATATGGTACCAATTCAAAGGCATGGGCACAGGGGTATAGAAAATGGAATGCAAATCAGTACATTGAGGTAAACTAATAAAAAACTGACCTTTGAAAGGGGTGTCTCCTTTCACTAGATAATAATTGAATTCTTTAAAAAACACAGACATAAATTTAAAAAAAAAAAATCTGCATATTATCCTCTCAAAATAGTCTTATTCTTTACTTATTGAGAAGGATTACAGTTCGTAATCTTGGCATTTTTATCATTTCTTTCATGAATATCCTTTGAATTATCAGCTGAGATTTCCGGAAAAAATTACAGTTCGGAACCTTGGCATTTTTATCATTTCTTTCATGAATATCCTTTTAATTATCAGCTGAGATTTCCGGAAAAAATTTGGTTAACTCATGTTAACATATACGAAGTTTATAATGGTGGAGCTGTCACGAGAATATTGGCGAAAAACGAAGAAAAACGATGGATTGAAATATTTAGGGCTCCATATGCACATTTAGTCAAGAAGTCAAGGATATTTTCCCCCCAAATTAAAGTGAGTATTTTTCAAAGAATTTAGTATAGAATATAATTTATTAAATAATGTTTCTGACTAGTAAACATTTGCATTGATTTTTAGACTCTTTAAGTAATCGTATTTTTAAAGATGAAGGATCTCTCAACAACAACATCATTTTCTAATTCATTGAGTAGAAATAAGTTTTGGAAACACACAAATTTTCTAATTAAAAATCGTATTTAGTTACAAGAAGGATATGGAGATAACGAACAGTATTCAATATCAAAGTCCATAAAACAATACAAAATAGGCGAAGAGCAAACACGGACCTCCAGAACATCAGAGGTGGGATCAGGTGCCATGGAGGAGTGAGAATTCCCTGCTGACCGGTCACAACCGTCTTGTGCCTATTGTCATGATCGGGAAATAACGGACAAATCCGTCGTCAATTCAGTGTATAAATAATGGACTAACAATTAGTATGAAAAACTTTGTATTTGCTGACAAGGTCATTGTATCGACCATAGAAGTTACGAAATGAAGACTTTAAACGAGACTGTTGATATTCTTGTTTCATTAACTTGCTTGTCAATAATTTACTTCGTTTTAGAAATTGTTCATACGTAGAGCATGCTCTTGCATATCAAATCAACAGAGATATATATACACTCCGTATGCAGGTGATGAAGGTATATTGCTGCATAAGTAAACGAAGTTGACGATAGAAAAGTTAAAGTCATCACGTTTATCATACAGCTTGGTTGTTAGATTACCATTAACGTCTTTTTCAAATAAAATATCCAAGTATGAAACAGATGTTTCAGACTCTGTGGTATCTTTTATCTCAAGCTCACCAGGATATATCGTATCGACGTACGAATGGAAATTACCATTGTTAATTGACAATAAGTCGTCAATATATCTAAATGCCGAGTTGAAGACCACAGCAAGTGTTTTCTTCTTTTCACGCATAAGATTTTGTACAGATTCTGTTTCATACGAAAACAAAAATAGGTCTGCTAATAACGGAGCGCAATTGGTACCCATTGGAATTCCAATAGGTTGTTGGAAGACCTGGTCTCCAAAAACCATATAGATATTGTCAATCAGAAACTCAAGCATCTTTTTGATGTCGACTTCAGAGTACTTGTGTGTACAATCAGAATGTTTTTAACAAAATAATTTTGCAAATGACCAATAATCAGGTAAGGAAATTTACGAGTTCCATATTTATTGAAAAAGCAGCTGTCAATGATATCAAAAAGCATGGACTTTAATTTATCGTGGGGAATGGTTGTGTATAAAGTTGAAAAGTCGTACGCTGTTGATTATAAATTCTTGTGATTTTGATAAATTCTTGTGATTTCAAAATTGTCCAAAAGTTCTTTGGAATTATTGAGTATATAAGTACTGATCATTTAATCTATCTGATTCTTTTTTCACTTCTTGATCATTGAACACAGAAGGATAGATTGTTTTCATATTGCCCCTCAATATTTTAATACGCGACTTTAACATGGATCTGATACATTTAATCCATTCTGACAAGGTGTCAAAGTCTTCTTTTTCATATCTGGCCCGTCGTTTGGCGTAATTTTCAACAGAATCATAATATTTATGAAATTCCGACGCCAGTTGAAGGGTCGGGGTTCCCTATATTTAGGACCTTTTAAAGTAAGTGATCTAAGGTCCTCATTATCAACTATATTTACGTCACATGTAATAACGTGTCCGGCAGGACTATAGTTGTAGGGCGAAGAAGAACATGAACACGATGGAGGAATATGTTTCAGATACTCGGTATCCAGGCCATGTTAAGTTTTTTTTTGTAATTGAAAAGTTTGGAAGCAATGGTCGATGTATATTTGTAGGAAATACAAGATGTAGTCTTTAACTTGAATTATGGTGGAATACAAGAACGGACCCGTTTGTGATTAAGAATATTACTTATATTAACCGCGTCAATTCCTTTATTGGCATATTGAAATTTAAGGCAAAAACGGATTGTTTTAGCTGCATTCTAAAGAATGCAGCTAAATGATTTGTAGATAATGGCATCCTTAATACCTAAATATTTTGTATAATTAAAAAAAAATTAAATTAAACTATTAACATATTTTTCTACTCAGAGAGTGGATTTCCCTGTAAATGAGCTGAGAATAGAAGTTGATTGTACTGTCTCAGGGACATATGTATCCATTGACGCAGTTGAAATCGTTGGAGGTATTTATTCTCATCTTAATATTTCGCTTGTATTAGAATGTATTAGGAACAAATCAATTCAAGTTAAATATTTCAATCAAACGAAATTAAATGAAAGGTTTAACCTCGGTTTATTTGTCTCTGTCTCAAATATATTGCGACTGATTGAGATTATTGTTAATCACCAGAAATTGGTAAATTATATTGTTTCATGAAATTCTTTACAGTTTTATGAAATATTAAAACCCTAAAGGATATGGACATTTTTTGGTTGCTTGGAAAATATCATACAAGAGGAATTGCTTTTTGAATGGAGAGGAGCATTAGAAATGAGAATAGAATTTCCTTTTTTTAAATTGTATTCTGGGTCTCTGATCAAGACATCCCTTCCCAGATGTTTTAGCAGTTTTGTTATGTTCTTATTTAATTCCATACCCGAAGCTTATTTAGTCTTTTTCAAAACAAAGGTGGTTGTCCTAGGCGGTTTAAAAAACTCGGCGATTCTTGTTATCTCATCAGGAAAGCTAGAGTGTCGGCAGACACGGCGTTCGTAAGTAGATAAAAAGCTGGAAATGATTTTATTGAAATGATTGCGTAAAAACTGCAATTTCTTTTGATCATCTGTTATTTGCTTCTCTGTGCATTTCATCATTAAGGTCAACTGTTTAGAAGCCGGTGGGTATTTGGCCAACTTTGAAACTCTAGAGGAGGCGATGCGAATGAAAAAAATTCTAAAGAAAATGGGCAGAGGTAATAATGGAAACTTTTGGGAGTCCTTTTAAAATTCTTCGAGGTTTCATTTATGCATTTTTGTATCAGTTTAAGACCATTTTTCATAAAAATCTAATTCATTCTTTTCTAATTCAATTTGTCTTCAAATTTTATTTCGCATACGGGCATTAAATGACCCGATGAATGATCTTTTCTAAATTCCTAAGGTTTCTTCTATAATAACACTTACTCATATTTTTTGAATCTATTAAGATCAACTTAGTGAAATATATTCTATTTTTCAAACTTAAAATATCAGGATTTAACTTCTACGTTGGAGGAAGAAATATTAACAGAAGAAAGCCCGGGGGAGATTGGAGATGGATCAAGCATGGACAAATGAATAAGATGAAATATTATGCCTTTGCTGCCAACGAACCTAATGGGTCTGACAAGTCGCCTCAAGACTGCATGTTCTTTTATGCCAGAAGCCGCTACTCGTTCCACAATATCTATTGTGACAATGGTTCACATCTTAGTGGCTATATCTGCGAAGCCTGAAAATTGTCAATTGATTTATAATGCAATAAATTGAAAGCATCGTATCATTTTTCTGTTTTTTACTAATATTTATAGAATTATGAATGTAACCTGACTATAGCTAGAATTACAGATCGATCGACCTTCCCGTTGTTTGAATCTTTATACTTAGTGAGATTACATGTAATTTTACTGGACAGAGCTTCTGTACCAAAACTTGGGAAAATCTTAACTGCACATCTTCTAATGTTGTTTGTGGAATGGAATGTAATTTGTGCGGACTTTTTTATGTTGGTGAAACCAAGGGATCATACAATAAAAGAGTATCAGGTCATCGATTTCAAATAAATCATGGGGGTCAGCAGCTTTTATACAAACATTTTAATTTACCTTATCATTCTGTTTTATCAATAAAAGTAAGAATTCTCGAAAAGATATATCACCACAAAAATAGCCCTTTACTGAGTGCACCTTTCCGTAGACAACGAAAGGAATTTTGGATTAGAAAACTAGGGACAGCCTTTCCCTATGGATGAAATGACAGTGTCGAGAGTGTTTGAAATCTTTCCAGTCCACAGTGTAATAATGTAAATGTGATGGGACTTTTTAACCATATACAGAGACGTAAGCGTAGTCATGGGCATCGGTCTTACAATAAACCTCTATTACACGATGTTTCTTTTGATTCATTACAACCTTATGTTAATCAACAGTTATGTCTGCATCATATTCGCACCAAACTTTACTCTGTCCCTTTGAAACTTATAAGTAGTCCTCTTGAAAGGTCAAGGAAAGCCTTGGATTCCTCGACACCACAATATAGGCTCGGATCTGTGGTTATGGATATTGCAATCCATAGGCTTTTTAAACCCGTGTGTTTTACTGAAGAAAATGCAGCTAAATAGTCCTTCTTTTCTTTAAACTTCAATATGCCAATAAAGGAATTAACGCGGTTAATATAAGTAATATTCTTAATCTCAAAAGGGTCCGTTCTTGTATTCCACCATATTTCAAGTTAAAGACTACACCTTGTATTTCCTACATATATACATCGCCCATTGCTTCCAAACTTTTTAATTACAAAAAAACTTTACATGGCCTGGATACCGAGTATCTGAAACATATTCCTCCATCGTGTTCATGTTCTTCTTCGCCCTACAATAATAGTTCCACTGGGCACGTTATTACATGTGACGTAAATATAGTCGATAATGAGGACCTTAGATCACTTATTTTAAAAGTTCCTAAAAATATAGTTTTATGGTTTAGTTCAACTTTTCCACTCGGCGAGTGGAGTTTTGACGCTATTTACGGAGATTAAAGAAAACAAAGACAAGCAAGCCATATATGGTTGTGTAGATAAATTATCATAGTTGACATAGGTATAAACAGTTTGCCACTGCCTTTTCTCTGAAAGTGTAAATGAGCGGGATTCTAAGAGAGAGGGGTACTCCGTGTAATTTGGAGTTAGATACCTTGTGATTATTATACTATGGGTCAAAAATTTATTACAGAAACAAGTGCCTGTGTCATAGTTCCCTTTCTAAGGAAGAAATTCTTCAAAATCATATGTTAGTTTTGAATATTTTAATATCCTGAGGAACCAAAATGAATTTGAACTACCATATAGATATTGGATTTCAAAACTTCATGAGAATCCTTACAAATATAGATACATATGTAGTGGGTTCCAGTAAATGTTCAACCAAACCTCTTTCTTTACTCCTCACTAACATGTTAACAGTAGTAACGGGAAACTTCAAGAGTACTGTGCAACATATTCAAGAAGTGTTGTGAATCAGATGTGGATACTCAATAATTCCATAGAACTTTTGGACATTTTGAAATCACAAAATTTTACCAAAATCGACAGCTTAACAAACTTACGACTTTTCAGCTTTATACACAACCATTCCCCACGATAAATTAAAATCCAGGCTTTTTGATATCATTGACAGCTGCTTTTTCAATGAAAATGGAACTCGTAAATTTCCTTACCTGGTCATTGGTCATTTGCAAAATTATTTTGTTAAAAACATTCTGATTGTACACACAAGTACTCTGAAGTCGACATCAAAAAGATGCTTGAGTTTATGATTGGCAATATCTATGTGGTTTTTGGAAACCAGGTCTTCCAACAATCTATTGGAATTCCAATGGGTACCAATTGCGCTCCGTTATTAGTAGACCTATTTTTGTATTCGTATGAAGCGGAATTTGTGCAAAATCTTATGCATGAAAAGAAGAAACACTTGCATTTGCCTTCAACTCGGCATTTAGATATATCGACTACGGACTGTCAATTAACAATGGTAATTTCCATTCTTATGTCGATACGATATATCCTGAAGAGCTCGAGATATATCGTATGTGCTCAAGGGCGCTTTACTGTATTGAGCGTGCGTTCGCGTACCAAAAACACATGCAAGTTCTCAAGGGTGTCGGTAAATAAAAATTGTTCATGTTAATATATATGTATTTTTTAAAAATACAACATTATACAAATATTGCATGGCTACGAGGGCAACATACCAGAATATTTGCCCTCGAGGTGATAGGAAAGCCCTGGAGTGTTCTGTCTCTCTCTGCCTTCGGCATCGGCGCAGCTGTTGGCGGTCTTCGTGATTGGGAACTACCAGGTTCAATTCACATTCCCAGCACTTTAACGTAAACTTTAATTAACTTGAGGTAGAGATTGTCCCTTTGCCAAGTGCCCAGCACTATACAAGTGAAACTCACGAGACTTTCAGATGAGACCTTAAAAACCGAGGTCCCGTGTCACGATAGAGTCTGAGAAACCTCACTACTCAATTACTTAAGGAGGCAAGTAAAGGTTTAAGTTTGAAGCCATCCTAAAATCAGAACGTTTCTTGCCTGAGAAACTTTTGAAAAACATAAACAATGACCCAAACTATTACTAAACTGAATCTTTTCACAGTTTTACAAGTGTCTCGGTGTAGCGTTTGAAATATAATACTCAACGACTAACCCTTTTTGAGAAAGCAGATCTCGGTTGCAGTTACAAAAATTTAAAGTAGTGGTAAGTAAAGCCTGAAAAGGTAAACCTCGTCTACGTGACAACAGAGATTTAAATACTTATATAAAAATAGGTAAAAACGTACCTAAACCGTAATGTATGTTCTGAATTCGGGGTTCATGTACAGTAAGCAGCATTGATTAAGAGGACCCATAAAAAAATAAGTAAAAACTAAAGTTTTAATTATTATAAACCAATTTATTAAATACTAATGACAATTATAATAGTTATGGTGGTGATGGAGATTCATAAATAAAAGATGTATACTTATTATGTCCAGTTTGAAACTGAACCATAAAAATATTGCATTCATTCAAATGTAAATATCTTTATTAAAACTACCGAGATGAGAACAGTCAAACTTGAATACTTGTCTACTGAAAAATGTCTATGTCACTGAGACATTGAATTCTTCGATAATAGTTACAATGTATCATATGTTTGTTCAAATGTAATGTAAGAGGAGTAATGACACGCGAGAAACCTATACATTTTATCCATTTTGTCAGTTAAATTTGAACTCTTATCTAACATTACAGTTCCGAAATCGAATGTCAAAACCTGTTGTGTAATATTTTGTTATCATTCGGTAAATGCGCTCATAGAAATGTAACAGAAGAATGGCAATGAGTAATAAGAAATGTATATACTTTATTGACTATGATGAAATGCTAACTGTTTTCCGTGGGTAGATGGTTATTGTGATTATCGCTTTTTTCATTGCGAGATGGTCTGAAGCTCAAGTTTCTCACAGGATGTTATTTAAATTTTAGTAACATTTGTCATGAAATATGCCTACGTGACAAGTCTGCCGTTCACAACAAACCATTCAAAAACAAAACGAAAAGAAAGAAATTGACAATCTAATGGTTTATGCTCAGACAGTCCAAAAAAATTGCTGAGTCATGTGGGGATCAAACTTCTCTCCAGTGCGACGAAAGGTTTCGGGACTGGAGACAGAAGAATCCAACTACATGTCCCTGTCAAAAAAAAAAAAAAAACAAAAAAAAACGTAGATATATCAAGAAGCTCTGGTTTTGGGTTTGGATTATAAATTAAATTCAAAAAAGCAACAGCCCTTTCATGCCCCTCCCCCCAAACACAGATACTGTTACGCATACAACAACCATAGCACATGCTCCAAAGATAACGCATTCCCCAACCCGCACGTTTGTCAAATCATTGTCGCGAACTCTGCCCAAAATTCAAACAAAATAAACCAAAGCAAATTTGTCAACAGCACAAGTTCCTCAAAGCCCCCCCCCCCCCAACTCCAATTAAAAAGTAAAATAATAATCTATAAACCTATAAACCACACCATTCTATAGCTTACCATTCAGAAAAGTGCAACCATACTTTGGCAAACGTTTTAATTGAGGGCTTTAAATTTAGGTTTAGAATCCCATCTCAAGGGCCTAGACAATTTCGCCTCTCTCCAAATTTCCCTTATATTAAAGAATCTATTTTGGAAGAGAGAATTCAACAGGAATTGCAAAATACTCGCACAGCATTTCCTTTGACCTTTAAAAATAACTTTTGATTGGATCACTGTAAAACATTTATATACGTGCATACAAGTAGAGTCTTAATCATTCGCTGTTTACCTCAAAATTAAAAATTCATTTAAGAAAGTCTTGTCTTGCTAGATCCATTGCCGAATTGCTTAAATTATCTGATTTATATGGAATGCGAAATCAATATGCAATTTTTGATTAGTAAATAATATCAAATTTAAAAACACACACACAAATAACCCCAGACATTGGTTTCTTGAATTTCTTAAAATTTCTTGCATTTAAAAAGTCATTTATCATATCAAACCTACTATTTTATGAAAATATATTGGGGGGAAAATCCATCATCAGCATCTGTGGCAAAAAAGGTCTTTAGAGAAATATACAATTCTTACATATCAATTAAACTGCAAGATGTTGAAATGTTATATGAGAAAAACTATGACTCATGATAAACGTGTACATTTTCTTACCTTTATAATTCAAATTCGAAAACTTACTAACGTAAATGTATCATTACTGTCAGGGAAAGGTGGTTCCTAAGATGATCCTACTGTACGTTTTCATATTAATGGTCTCTTTTTCAGAAGGTAGGTAGAAAGTCGTACCCTTCGATAAAATTTTTAAAGAATAAATACGCGTCTTTACATTTGTCAAGAAGAGAAAGTGAAAATAGATTCTGTTCAATGAATTTTTCTGCCAAATATAAATTTGTTTATAAATAAATGTGAATTTGAGTTTTAAAAAAAAAATTTAATTTTAATTTGAAAATTTAAAGCCGTCAAGCGAGAATGGGCCTCCGAAGTTACAGCATTTTCGTCACAGTCAGGGTAAACTCGAATAAAATTTCACATTCTAATGACTGTCGTAATCTACATTAATCTAACTACTAATAATTGTTTTCTAACAATATTCCAACCATAATTTAATGCAAATTTTCTAGCTACTCAGCAAAACAGATATTGGGGAAACCAAATGTTTATCCTAAATATAGTACTAGTTCATCAGCATGGAGACAGGCGTACGGACAGTGGAATGCAAATCAGTACATAGAGGTAAAATTATACATAATAAAGTGTGTTTTCTTTCACTAGATGACGACTGAATTCTTGAAGAAGAAAAATCACATACACACAGACATAAATTCAAGAAAAAAAATCTTCCACACATTATCTTCTCAAAGTAGCATTGTTTTATACTTATGAGATTGATCGCAGTTCTTGAGTTCCATCGTTTTCATTACAAATTCAAGAGAATATTTTTTTAAATACTTGGTTTTATCATCATTTTCATGCTGAGTATTTATCTTTTTCATATCAGTTGAAATTTCCGGAAAAGATTTGGTTGACTCATGTTCACATATACGAAGTTTACAATGCTGGAGCTGTCACGAGAATATTGGCGAAAAACGAAGAAAATCGATGGATTGAAATATTTAGGGCTCCATATGCACATTTAATCAAAAGGGCTAGGATATTTTCCCCCGAAATAAAAGTGAGTATTTTTCAAAAAATTTAGTGCACCGGGTATTTCTTATAAATTTCTGATTGGAAAACATTCGCATTAAATTTTAACTCTTTAACTAATCGTATCTTTTTTTACGAAGGATCTTTCAACAATAATAACATTTTTGAAAGTCATTAAATAGAGATAAAGTTTTGGAAACATGCACATAACGAATCGAATCAAAGCTGGAAAATTATTTTCTGTCCCTTAGTAATCTAAATTTAAATATTTCATATAATTTTTTAAAATTAAAATAATCACTATTGTACTCAGAGAGTGGACTTTCCTGTGAACGAGCTGAGAATAGAAGTTGATTGTACTGTCTCCGGTTCATATGTATATATTGACGCAGTTGAAATCGTTGGAGGTATTTTTAATCTTGATATTTTTAAAGTTCATTAGATATAGTTTATATTATTTCAATTCAACGAAATTGTACGCAGAGGATTATCTTGGACTACTTTTTATTCCCCTCAATTTCAAAGATTCGATGTTAGTCATCAGGGTTTGATAATTCATATTCTTAAACCTTTAAAGATTGTTACTTATATAGATTTATATTATTTTTTCTCATTTATTCCAAGCTCTCTAATTGGCTCAAACTTGATCCCATGATCAAGTATATAACAGCATAAAGACTACTACATGTATTTACTATTTATAGATTCTGAAATGCATATCGATTTGATGTTTCTAAAAGATGGAAATAATTTTCTGTTAGCAATAGCTAATGCAGTGTATGACTTGATGTTTCTGAAAAACAAACAACTTAAACTCCTATTTATAATTCTGATGTTCTGTAACACAGTTTGTAAGATGTAACAGTGCCTTGAATAAGGATCTACCTTATATTAAAACATATTAAAGATGTTTTTCAAAAATCAATACAAAAAATAATAAAACAAGTCTACCTTTTTGAATTATTAAATTCCCTAAATTACTCTATCAATATAAAGGAAAAACAATTACATTAAACAGCCCAAATTAATTGTGATCTATAGTATCTAAGTGTTAAAAAGGACAAGAGAAAATCATGACTTCTTCTAATTATCTTCAAATTTTGTTCTGTAAATCCCCGTAAAAAATAATATAATAAATGTAGCCCTTTTATTCGGTCAATCCATAGATAAATTGACTTCACAGAAAAGCATATCGACCTCGCACGAAGTGCGATATGCTTTTCTGTGAAGTCGATATATCTTTGGATCGACCTCATCAAAGGGCTATATTTATATTATATACTTTTTAAAAGTCTTACATTTCCAGTGTTTTCTGAGTGGTCCGTAATTCTATAAGACATTGGACCATACGTCACACTGAATGTCATTCAATGAAATGTCACGACAGTTATTTCCCCGGCTTCGAGTTAGTAAACATAATTTTGGACACACACACAATGACTATTCACACAGGAGCCCCCAGAAAGGCAGCTCTATACAAGTCAACAAATACAAAATAAATTATCAACAAAAAATGTGACAGGAGGCAAGGTCTGTGTTGGCTCTGCTTATAGGTTTTATTGTTAAAATGGACTTTAAGAATGGTTGCTGTTCGTTCATGTCACTTTTCACATAATTATACTAGTATGTCTTAATTACCATCACAACTATTTAAGAATTCTTACTTGGTAAAACTCAGCATTAGAAAATTTATGCTTTGATATCTTATATTACCCAAAATAAACCTATATGTAACACCTGCCTTGTAGAGTAGGCTTTCCCCTATAAAATCCTTCACCCCGGAAAACTGGCTCTAGAGTAGGATCCCCTCGGAAAATAGGCTCTAGAGTAGGATTTTCCGGCACGAAAAAATTACTCTAGAGTAGGATCCCCCCACGGAAATCCCACACCAGATTCATTTTTTTCCGGGGGAAATCCTACTCTGTGTAGTAGTTAAAGAGTACGATTTCCCTCAAAGCCAATTTTAATCTTTAAACTTTAAATAGCCTTGATATACTGCACATTAAAAATATGTGACACATACAATTACCACTGACTGTGCTATTAGAGATGTTAAGACATCTGAGGAGTTTAAAATTTCTTTTGAAAGCTAAATATTCGGGTTTGAGATTCCATGATTTGAACTATATGCTTAGAAAATTCTTAATTAATTGAAAACATTCATTTACCATTGAAAAAGTTTCTCGTTTTTTTTTATTTTTTCACAAAAATGATGCGGTATGTGGCTTATATTGACTCTATAACGAGGAGGGGAATTCTACCCTGAGAAAGAAAGAAGGGGATTTGGCTCTGGTGTGAGATTTCCCCTTGGGGGAAATCCTACCCTTGAGTATAATTTCCGGGGGGGGGGGGGAGCTGGCAATGGGGGAAATCCTACTCTACAACACCGGTATTTGAATTTTAGTTTGAACCCCCTGTTCGTAAAATTTACTTAACTTAGAAAAATTTTAATCATGATATGCATGCAGAATTATTTGGCTGAGATACATTAGTGTTGTTGCTAGAGTATTTGGTAATTAGTTCAAATGATTTAGAATTTCCCAAACGCGGACTTTACTTAAATAGGGAGATCCTCAAACCCTATGAATTCAAAAACTTAACAAGCTTTATGCCAGTTCAATTTCCTTCTATGGTTTACTTCGTCTTTTTTTAAACAAAGGCGGTTGTCCTAGAGGGTTTAGAAAACTCTGGGATTCTTGTTACCTGATCAAGAAAGATAGAGTGTCAGCAGACACAGCATTTGTAAGTAAACAATGACAAAAATGTTTTGAAATGAAAGTATATAAACAACAATTTGTTTTGATCACCTAATACTATAGCAACTGATTCTTTATGTCTTACATTCTAAAGGCCAATTGTTTAAAAGCTGGTGGGTATTTGGCCAACTTTGAAACTCTCGAGGAGGCTTTGCGGATGAAAAAAATTCTAAAGAAAATGCATACAGGTAATAATGGAAAATTTGTTGGTGTATCTTTTAAAATTCTTAATGTTTCTAGTATTCAAGTTTCAATTATGAATATTTTTAACAGTTAAAAACCACCATAATAAAATCTATTCCATTATTTTGGATATACATAATACGTTATATATATATATATATATATACTATCAGCAACCAGCTTCTTTGTTGGGGGAAGAAATATAAACAGAAGAAAACCAGGAGGGGATTGGAGGTGGATCAAACACGGACAAATGACCAAGATGGCGTATCATGCCTTTGGTGCCGGAGAACCCGATGGATCAGACCGTTCTCCCGAGGACTGCATGCTCTTTTATTCAGGAGAACGCTTTGCGTTCCACAATGTCCCTTGTGATACTGGCAGATATCATGGTGGCTATATTTGCGAAGCATAAATATTAGTACATGTACTGCTAAATGGATTATGATGCAATAAATTAAAAGCATTTAACTATTGTTCTGTTTTCTATGTCAAAAGACCAAGTGACTGTTTTTCTTAACATTTCACGAGTTACAGGTAAAATATGTCTTAACAAGATGTGTTTGTGAAATACTCTGCGCCCGGCGGCAAGTTTGGAAAAAAATATTTTAAGCATATAGGTCACAGTCAAGGTCACAAGTTGATTGATCTTGGTGCCGTTTGAAAGAGCTAAATTAGTGGAGCATGCGTACCAAATATGAAGTCTCTATCTCTCGCTGCTCAAAAATTATGGCGAAAGTTAAAGTTGACAACAGACAGGCACACAGACAAACAGATGAGCAGACAGACAGTACAAAAACAATATACGCCACGGATATATCGATCCGGTGTAAAGACGAATAATGACCCCCATCGAATAATGACCGGGGGTCATTTTTCACCGACAAAAAATGACCCCCTACCCGTAGAAAAAAAATCATTTTTTGTAGAAAAAGTGTCCTAGGGGGTCATTATTTTATATGTTAGTACTATAAAAAAATTAACCCCCATTGAAAAATGACCCCCTTTAAAGTGAAAAGAGATTCTTTAATTGTCAAGTAAATAAAATTTCTTTTTAATATTCCTCCTTATAGTGTTTGCTTAAAGAATGATATTCCACTTGTTTTTAGAAACCAAACCATACAATCAGGTTCCAATACCCTTTAATAGAAAAATTAATTTTTCCTTCATTTCAACTTTTAGCTTGTATAAGTTTCGCAAATCCTATTTGACAATGAAAGAGTAGGAAATCCCCCCCCCCCCAAAAATTACGTTAAAGTCGCTTCACCCGAAACAGGTACATATTATTTTAAACAATTAAAGTATGTCATTATATACAACAATCCTTATATGGAAAACATAGTCCAAAAACCTTGTTGACAAACAGCAGTTCCTGACGGGAAGTGAAGATCTGTTTTGAAGTTACCTTTGAAAAAAATACTTTTATCGGTTATATCTAATTATGAAGAGATTTCAAACCCGAGTATTTTTTCCATTAATAGAATCCTAAGTCATGATATATAAAAATTAAGAAATTAACTGAATATAATCCATAGTTATTTTTATATTAATATGCATATTTACAGAATAAAGGAAAATCAGATATTTTTAAAGATTTTTTAAAAAGGGAGTTTAGTAAAGACTTTTAAGAGGGCTAGAATATTGCCCGTGTACACATTGTTGTGGAAAAAATGCTCGGGTTTGTTCTTCATAAGTTATACATGTAAGCGATAAATTTAATTTTCTGAAGGCGATTTCACGCAATGTAAACAAAGGATTATTTTTTTGTGTGACCTAACAAAAATTATTTTTTTAACTTTTGAATTTTGATATCTTTAAAAAGAAAAAGACTTTGGGGATATAATTTGACAAAAGTTGAAATAATTTTTGGACAATTATTTTTCAAGAAGAAAAACAAATATATTTTTTAGCGATTAGAATCGGACCAAGCGGCTTTAAATCAAAACAAACAAAAATTAAATTAAAAGCAGAAATATAAATAAAACTCTGTACCTTTCAATAATACTGAAAGAGGCTCTAGATAAAATATTGAAATGAAGTTAAGCCTTCACCCAAGTTCAGTCATATCATAATTTACTTCGCCATGATTAAATCATACTTTAAATGTTGGTGGGGGTATACTTGAAAGTATTGTGGCAGAGTTACAGTTGAAAATTAATAGAAAAGATTATTTTAAGCTTATTTTTATTCCCTCCTTATAGAAAAATAAAGGTAGGGTAGTTTTTTTGTTGCTTTTGTTGATAATCAACTTCCTCCTAAATAAGTAAGGGGGTGGGGTGGGTATAACACCTAGAAATATACTCTGTAAAGCTATTGGCTAGTGTAAAATACACATTCTAATGCAAAAACTATACATGTAGACATAACCTTTTGATTTAGCACACAGTATTCATTACATTTCTTAATTCTTGTTTTACTCCACAATTTTACCCAGTTCTGAGTATATTTTTCAGAGAATTTAATATGAAAATCAGAACAAACATTTTCATTTTTGTAACGTCTTCTTTATACTGTATCGTAATATGAAAAGTTAATTGAAGACCATTTCTTTTTATGTCCCTGTAATCGAAGATTTGGGGGTATATACTAGTAGTTTTATCGTGTCCGTCTGTATGTCTGTCTGTCTATCTGGCGGTCTGTTTCTCCGCAAAAACTTTAAACTTTACCATAACTTTTCATTTATTGTAGCTATGTCTTTCATATTCAATATGTGTGCATTCCTTGTGATAAGACCTTACTTTGGGTACCACCAAATTTGACTTTTTGACCTTTACCTTGGAGTTTGTCCCATTTTACACAAAATACCAAATTTTTAATTAATTTACTTTGGCTATAACTTTTAAACGGTAGATACTAGTACTCTCATATTTCACAAATGGAATCCTTGTTACATTAAACCTTTCTTAAGAAACCATCAACTTTGACCCTATGACCTTTGAGTTTGACCTACCTTTCAAAAACTTATCCTTAGCCATTAATTTTGAACAAGTGGTGCTAGGGCTTTCCTATTTTGCAATTGTATTTCTTGTGAGAAGACCCTACTTTGGGTACCATTATATTTAAATTGCCTTTAAGAAAAGTTTAATCTTCGCTATGTTGCAATACAGGGGCTTAGCTTTTTTACAAATACATCTTTTTATATATAAGAGGAGTTGCGGATAACAGATGGATACCCCAAAGCGTAACAGACGGACGGACACCCTAATCACTATATACCCTCCCGCTTTTCAAGCGGAGAATAAAATTATATATGATACTGCTGATTTTTTCTGTCAGTACGATGATTCCCACAATCGAAAAACAATGTTTACCTAACCCTTCTCGATAAATCTTTACTCCTTTATATTCTGAATCACCGCATTGACCTTAAAATATAGCTATAATCGTATGTTATGAGATCAACATATCATCAATTTATTCCAAATAAGCTCAGGTGAGCATTTTGGCCAATATGCTTCTTTTTCTATTTTTTTTTTTTTTTTTTTGCCCCCTAAAAGTTTCATCTTAAATCCACAGGGAGTCATTTTTCTACGTGGGTCATTTTTCTTCACGTGGGTTCTGCAAATTTTTAGGGTGGTGACACTTTTTCTACGGGCAAAAGGGTCATTTTTCTACGTCGAATAATGACCCCTGGTCATTATTCGATGGGGGTCATTATTCGTCTTTACACCGGGCGCATAAAAATGTTTCCCTTCTTATGTTTGAATGTTTTATTTAATAATGCCAATATCTTTTACTCCAAAATGTTTTCCAACTTTTATAAAACTCAAATATTACATTACAAATTATCACCTCTATAAAAAGAACTAAGTATTGGTATCGTAATTCGTCCTTATTTTCTCTCAAAATACAAGGGATGTTCAATAAATAATGTCATCAGTTCGATAACATGCAACATAGAAATCATATGCCATTAGGATTGACTTTCTCTAGTTATTGAATCTTTAATGAGTTGATAACAGTTTATGTGACCACTTTTCATCACATAGTTCAATTATGAGAAGCTGGAAAACGAGGGCTACTCGAGACACTGCATTTAAAATGAATCGTCAAGAATCAGTAAACTAGAGTGAAATTAAACGCTTCATTAAAGCTGCTGTAAAACTTGTTAAGAATCCCAAAGATATATTAACTGAAACATGTGAAATTTACAGAAACCAATGTCTGTTTTATACACAAAGGAGAAGGTGGATTTCAATGAACAAAAATGATATAATGTGCATCGAAAATGGGTACCATCCTTAGTGATAAGGACTTACAACAACCATTGTATATTTGCAAAAATTCAACAAATTATCACTGAGTATGTTTAATTGACATTAAGACATATAGCAAATTTGATGGACATCTTTTTGGGGGTAGTTCACACTGTTTTAAAGAAACATTTGATGGTGAAAAGGTTTAATACTCAAAGGTCACCAAATATTTTGAAAAATGAGTGAAAACGACAGCGTGTAGGAATATCTAAACAATTATTTAAAAAGAAAATACTTATCCATGTTTGTCTGAAATTCAAACAGATAATGAAACTTGATTCCATTTTGGTTTAAACCCTCAAAACCAAACAAATTTATAATGAGATACACTTGACAAAGCAGCAAAGGCCTAAAAAGAGCAAAGAATTGTAAGAGCACAAAGACAATTTTATATACTACTTTCTTAAATATTGTTGGTCTTGTTGTTTAAATTCTTATTAGGGGAGTAATTTCAACTTCTGGAAGAGTCTAGAAAGCAAATATTTTTTTTTGCAAAAAAGTGAAAGGTTTATGAGAGGAAGAAGCCAGAATGAAGAATTCACTAAATTAAATTTCTTCATGCCAGCGTCCAAACCTACAGGCCATGAAGTGTAAAGAAGTTCTGGGGATGAAAATAAAGTTAATGTTTGGTCACACCAACAATGTTGGCCAGCACTTTCAACCTTTGACTTGTTTCATTTCCCAAACTTAAAAAAAACACCTTTCGGAAAGAAAAAAAAACAAGTACAGGAAATCATTGGATCTGCCATATTCCAGTATACGAAGGGTAATCATTAGAAATTAAATAAAAATGTTACGGCCCGTGTGTTTTAATCAATAGACAATATTTTAGTTTAATCATTAAGACTAAATCATAGAAAGTCGTTTCTTGTTTCTTTCCGAGCACCGATGATATTATTTATTGAACGTCCCCGTACATGTACAATTGAAAGAGATGTAAAGATAACGAACTGACCATGTCCTGAAGTCCATTTAAGTAATATAAATTGTGATCAGAGTAATCACAAACCCCTAAAATCAGAGGTGGGATCAGGCTTCACGGAGGAGTTAGCATCCCTTGCCGACTTGTCATGATTTGTTGAATTGATAAATCAAGTCATTGTTGTGAAACATGTTTGTGAACGTTCAATTTAACGACGGGATTGTATTTGCAAACAAGGTCATTGTATTGACTATACGAGTTTACATTTAGGACTCGTAACTCTGTACAATGTAATGTTTTGGGTTTCCAAGACCGCCATCCTGTATCAAGTATATAAAGAAAAACTTGCATGAATTATCATTGTATTAAAATTGAAAAATAACAAAGTTATATAATGTTTCGAAAAAAAAAATTGGTTAATACGTGTGATAAGATGACAAATTAAAATGTGTTGTGAAGCCAAGTGTCTTCATCTTCGCTTCGCCACACTCGCTATCGTCGCTGCAATGTAATTTACAATATTAAAAGATTTTTCGTTTTATCTCTTGTAACAGTTTGAGCAAGTCGCATGTTTGGTTTCAGAAACATGCAATAAGTCCTTCAAAAGCACGTTTAGCTTTAAACTTAATTGATTTTATCCTAGTTTATCAACTTATTTGTCAATAGTCTGAATACTTCAAGATATTGTTTGTTCATAGAACATATACTTTTGCGCACTGAAACAACTGGGAAACATAAACCAAATAAGCAGGTACATAGTAATACAAAAATTACGGAAAATATAGTTCTCGCAGATAAAAAAGTGATTTACAATACCACTTGTAAAAATAAGACCAAAATCCTCTTTAATGTAATATTTGTCTTTAAGTCGATTTTAGATATCGTTAAGTTTTCATTCCATTAGCACTAAACTTTGCATAACACTGACGATGAAACGAAAAAATATTTTAAGTGGTTTTAATTTTAAAATTTACACAATTATCATTTAGATCCTATTGTTTTGTTCGGTATATGCTGTGCACAGAGGTAACAAAACAATGACAGAATAACTTAAATATTTGAAAATAAAGGTAAAGATTAAAAATCTTAGAAAACTGCAGAATGTTAGATAAGATAAGAGAACAGAAAGCGCAGCATTTACAAAGAAAAAAGGAACTATATAGTTAAAGAAAAAAAAATATTGAGCTACATTCCATATTGGACACTGGAAAGTTACACAATGTTCTTTCTAAAGCTTGTGATAGTGACTATTGCTGTTGTTGATACCTTATTACTTATATTTACATTTGTAATTTATTTTAATTTGCCTGATTATGACTTTAAATGCGTGAAATGTTTTATTTTTTAAACTCAACGGCATATGTTTAATCCATTGAATGTGTGTTGACCTGAGAAATTATGTCAAACGTGTATGACGTTCGAGGAACCTTTATTTATACGATTATAGATACGCATTCCTTTCAGTAGTGCTATATAAAGGAAAACATTTGCAAAAGTAAATATCACTTTAAAACAGTGAAAATGTAAATAAATTAAGAATAAAATACTGAAAATAGTTTGTTGTACTTCAACATATTTATCTATGCACCAGAATTCTGGTATTTTGGCAATATATTTTGTCTGAATTTTGGAAAGAAAAATGGATAATTGTCTCTTTATGTGCAAACCTTTACTTGATATTGGCTGGTTTGTAAAACGTGGTTTGAAAAATTTTAAAATGTTTTCACAATTTTTTTTCAGAAATATTGTGGAAACATGACACACTTATTAAAAAGAAATATGAGATGAAATTTGACTCACGAAAATCGAATTTATTTATTGATCAACTTTAAAAACTAGCCTAACATCAGACGCCATTGTTATTTGTGGTAGGGAACTATGGCGATTCTACTGTGCATTTTCATGTTGGTTGTCTCTCTTCAAAAGGTAGGCTTGAAGTGCAACCATTCAAATAAACTTGCGCACAAGAGAAGAAACTTGAATGTTTTTAATCTATTTTGATGCAATCAGTATATTTGCGAGACTTAAATTTTTAACAAATGACTACATTCAACATAAATACAAAAAATTTACCTTTTAAAAATGAAGAAATTACTGTAAAAATAACATACTAGTATTTTCGTGGGGTCACATTTTCGAGGTTTGAGGAAAAATATTCATTTGTGAGGATTTGAATTCATGGATGGAAAATATTCAGTAGAAATGCATATGAAAATTTACATTTCGTGGTGGTCATAAATTCGTTGGTCTCTCCATACCTCGAAAACAACAAAAATTAACCCCCACGAAAATTAGTGATTTCACAGTATATAATATTATTTAATAAGTATTTGTGTTCAGGAAAAAGAAAACAATTCATTAAATTTAATAATCATAACTGATTTTTTTTTACGTGAATGGAAAGCCATCAAACACCAATGGGCCTCAGAAGTTACAGCGTTTTCGTCACAGCACAACGCTGGCGGGTAAGATCCTTGCATTCTTATTTAGCTTCTATTTTATTTCCTGTGTAACTAATATAAGTTTAATATTATTAGTTTTATTTAAATTCATTATTCCATTCATAAATTCTACATTTTTTACAGATTCTCGGCAAAACAGATATTGGGGAAACCTAATGTTTATCCTCGCTATGTTAATTCCGAAGGGACATGGACCCAGGCACATGGACAACTGAACGAGAACCAGTTTATACAGGTACAAAACCATCTCAAGAAAAAAGTTAAGGATGGCCATGAATTAATCTAGCAATTGTCAGTTTTCTTCCTTATGTAATGTCGTCCTATACCCATGTTTTTCTTCTCAGTTTTGCGTCCGCGTGTGCCTGGTTTTGACCCTCCATACCATTCCCTCCAACACACACACACGTATTTTCTCTCTCTCTCTCTCTTACACACACCCACACTCTCACACACACTCACAGCATCACACACACAAAATTGATTACTTGATCGAAAAAATCTAATTAAAATTAGATCCTTTGCACACGGCTCCTGTATTTTGTTACGTCCTTGTAATTTATTAATTTTTGTCAATTATGTATAGTGTGTCAAATAAGCTACATATTTTAAGCATCTAATGCTTTGATTTTGATAAAGAATAATATTTCTTTTAGGAAAACAGTTCAGTGAGAGAAAATGCTTTGAACAGTGCCATTTTTATTACTTTTAGTCCGTGTTTTATGTTTTGGTCTGTGTGTTTTTTGCGAAGGGGTATTGGTAGGTTTTTGAAAAATCATGGGCCCTAAACAGATAGAAGAAACTTGGAATGATCAGAACAGATTTTTAAAAGTCAATACACAGTGATGAACAAAGATGATCAATTTAGCTGAAAGATTTCTTACTATGAAGAAAGTCTCTTTTGAAAAAAAGTAGAGAAAGAAACAAACTGAAAGCTAATATAATTGTAATTTCCATTCTTATGTCGATACGATAATAAGATTCTGGTGAACTTGAGATATAAGATATTAGAGTCTGACACACCTGTTTTATATTTGGATACTTATCTTGAATAAGACGATAATGGCACTTACAGTCAAGCTCTATGATAAACGTGATGATTTTAACTTTTCTATCGTAAACTTCCCTTACATACGAGGGCTGTTCAATAAATAATGTCCTGATCTGTATGACATACAATACAGATATCATATGACATTAAAATTGGCTTTCTCTCATAATTGAATCTTTAATGAATTTATAACAGTTCATGTGACCACTTTTCATCATATATTTTCATTGTGAGAAGCTGGGAAACAAGGGCTTTTCGAGACACTGCATTATAAATGAATGGTAAAGAATCGGTAAACTAGAGTGAAAATTAAAGCTTAAACAAAGCTGCTGTAAAACTTATTAAAAATCCCAAAGAAATATTCACTAAAATATGTGACTTTTACAGCAACCAATATCTGTTTTATAGACAAATGAGCAGGTGGATTTCAATGATCAAAAAATATATAATGGGCCTCAAAAATGGGTACCGTCCTTGCCAACAAAAAATTATAACACTTATGTACTGTTTGCCAAATTTCAACAAAAAATACTTGATGATGTAGGATTGACTTTAAGACAAATAGCAAATTTGATAGACATCACATCGGGGGTAGTTTACACTGTTTGTTTTTAAGAAACGTTTGACGGTAAAAAAAAAAAGCTTAGTACTCAAAGGTCACCCTATATTTTGAAAAATGAGTGAAAACGACAGCGTGTACGAATGGCTTAACATTTATTTTAAAATATCAGTAATTGGAGTTATCCACGTTTTTTGGATATTCAAACAGATAATGAAACTTGAATGTATTGCTTAAAATCCTCAAAACAAAATTTACCATAAGATGTTCTTGACAAAAACAGGGAATGTCTGGCGAGAGCAAAGAAATGCAAGAGCACAAAGACAGATTTATATGCAATGTTCTTAAATATTAGTAGTATTGTTGTTCAAATTCGTATTCGGGGAGACAGTTTAATTTCTGGATGAGTCTAGAAAACAATTTTTTTGCAAAAGAATTGAAAGGTTTATTAGAGGAAGGACCCAGAATCAGGAATCCACTACATTAAATTTCTTCATGATAGCGTTCAAATCCGCACACCCTGAAGGGTAAAGGGGTTTTCGGGATACACAGATAGTTAATATTTTTTCACATTAACAATATTCGCGAGATCTTTGACCTTTTGACTGATTTATATTTCCAAACTTGAAAAAAAAACACCTTTGATAAGGAAGAAACAAGTCAAGGAAATCATTGGATCTGCCATTTTCTAGTATACCAAGGGTCATACCCAAAAATGAGTTCTAAAATCAATCGGAAATTGGATAAAAAAGGTTGCGGACATGTGTTGTAATTAAAAGAGATTAATAAGTAAAATAATGAAGACAAAATCATTGAAAAGCGTCTTTTGCTTCTTTCCAAGCACCGAGGACATTATTTATTGAACAGCCCTCGTATGCAGCAATATACTAGTACCTTCATCACCTGTATACGAAGTTTACATATCCGTTGATTTGATACGTAAGAGCATGTTCTACGTATGCACAATTTCTAAAACGAAGAAAATTATTGACAAACAAGTTGATGAAACAAGAATATCAGAAGTCTCGTTTAAAGTCACCATTTCGTCAGTTTTCTGGTCGATACAATGACCTTGTCAGCAAATACAATTTATCCTTGAGTCAAATGTTGACTGACGTTTACATACTAACTGTTAGTCCATTATTTATACATTGAATTGACGACGGATTTTTTTTAATCTTTTTTCGATCATGACAAGGAGTGCATGGCGGGTGTGACCGGTCGGCAGGAAATGCTCACTCCTCCATGGCACCTGATCCCACCTCTGATGTTTTGGAGGTCCGCGTTTGCTCTGCTTCTGTTTTGTATTGTTTTATGGGCTTTAATATTGAATACTGTTCGTTATCTTTATATGTTTCCTAAAAGCGAACTTTGCAAAGTAATATTTAAGGTATGCTTTTGTTTCATTTCCAGGTTAGATTTCCAGAAAAGGTTTGGCTAACTAAAGTAAATATTTATGAAACATATAATGCTGGAACTGTCAAGAGAATACTGGCGAAGGATAAAAAAAACCAATGGATTGAAATTTTTGAGGTTTCCCATGTACACCCAATCAGAATGGCTAGGAAATTCTCAACCAAATTAAAAGTGAGTTTTTTAAAAACAAAATTGTATTTTTATCAAAGTACTACTAGTACTTTAGTACAAACTCATTGTCCGTTTTTTAAATTCATGGTTTATATATCGCAATGATTTTTTTTTTAAATTTCTCTCTTAGTTACTAAGCATTTGTCTTGTGTTAGGGTAAGAAAGAATCTTAAGGAAAATGTTTGGAAATTTACACAAAGGACTACTAAGTATGATAAAGACCTGAAAATATAGTGATATATGCTCTTCTTCACTCTTCCTAATCGACAATAAATGATCTGAATATCATAATATCGTAATCATTTAAAAAGTTTTTAATTGCTCCTCAACAAATTCAGATAGTGAATTTTCCTGTGAACGAGGTGAGAATAGAAGTTGATTGTTCTGTTTCTCCATTTTGGGTGGAAATCGATGCAGTGGAAATCGTTGGAGGTATTTAGTTTAATCTAAGTAAAGAAGAATTTTTTCTGGGATTTTTCTCTTAATGCCCTGCACAGTATAAAAAGATGTGGGATTCTTGTTACCTGACCAAGAAGGATAAGGTGTCAGCCGACACAGCGTTTGTACATGTAAGTAGAAACGGATGTGGGAATGAGTATATACAAATGATAGTAGATAAACAATATTCACTTTTGAAAAAAAATACATATATTATCATTCAATGTTTTTTTATATCCTAAAGGCCAAGTGTTTAGACACTGGTAGCTACCTGGCTAACTTTGAAACTATATAGAAGAGGCTTTGCGAATGAAAAGGGTTCTAAAGAAAATGAATAAAGGTATGAATTTAACATTAATGAAAAAAAGA